GCACATACACTTTCACTGCAGTGACACGTCCCAGATACCCTCATCTCAGACGAGCCCAAGACAAACAACAGATCAGAAAAGAGCAAGAGACTAAGTTCGAGCTAGTGTGACTAATTCAGCCCATCAAAGGACCCGATTTAGCAATGAAAGCGTCACGTTAGTCATGGCAATAATTTATGACACAAAAAATTAACCTCAAGTGAAAATCAGTTCTTGGTTTCACTGTCTGCTAAACCACGAGCCATGCGTGACGTCAATGTCTTCATCTGCACAGCCAGTCCATGAGGGGCCTCGAGGTCTTGCTGCAACCAGCTGCACGCAGGCCATAATTTTAGGATCACACGAAATGCAAATGTGTCAAGTTTTAACGTTCCGTCCCACAAAACTGCTATTCAAAATGGTGGTGGTGCTAGAGAGGCAGGCCAGATGAAGAGGACCACAAGTCCTGCAGCGAGCAAGAGAACAAAATAGATGTTTGTTTTGGGAGATACTGTACAAGGAGATTCCAAAAATATGCAAACTGCCGATGAAATCCCGAGACCCTGCCTCTGATCTGAAATGTGACCGAAAGAATATTGTAATTCATGCATCCACAGAGGTAAAACAAGTCCAATACAACGCTTTGTCAAGTTCAGAGAACCCTAAAGCACTCCACACTATATTCAGACATTTACATGCTGATGGTGGCAAGCTACTGGATTGAAGCCTCTCCTGCCCTGGGGCACGCTGACAGCAGCGAGACGGTCACCGGTGCCACCGAGCCCCCTGACCACCACCAGGAGGTAAGGCAGGTGAAGTTTCTTACCCAAGGACACAGTGAGAGGAGAGGCAGAGGCAGACAGAGCGAGAATTGATCAGGGGGATCTGGTGAAATTGGAGAGAGGAAATATATGTTGGGCTATTCGTGAACCAGAAAAGGTCTGAAATCAGCTCCTGCATTCAGATTCTCGTTGGAGTTCAACCGGTACGATAGATCATAGCATCTGTCGTACTTGATTAGGTCAAACAAGTACGATACTTGTAAGAAATCACTCAAACTATCTTTCTGTTTGAGTGACAGCTTCACATGCCAGACTGCAAGCACCATCTCTCCACTTGATGATGTGGAAAAAACATCTAAAAAGGTTTCAGCAGCTAAGCCATAAAAAAACTGAGTAGGCTTAAATTTCGAATTACTAAATTATTTGTCGAACTACACGATGAAAATACCATGTAAGGTGTTTCATAGGTTTCCACTAAAAAACAAAAACAAGTTATTTTGTAGAGAAGACAAAAATCACCATAATTTACTCTATTTGACTGACAAAACATAAAATTAAAATATCCCCTTACTTTAGACAGGAGCTAGAAAATCTGTTCACCGCCACTTAACAGCATGGCATTTCACCACACCCATAGTTATTCTGCCCAGTCTGGTAGTAAGTTTACTTTGACTTACATTAGGACCTACTTGGGTTATTGAAATCCCACCTGCACCAGCAAAGCAAATTGCTCGCCTTATTCAAGTTGAATCTGTGTGTTACACTGTCCTATTAAAATTTCAGCAACCATATCAGCCCACATTTCTTAAACAAAGTATAATGGCAGTGAACATGCTGGCATTATGTAAATTGCCCACAATTAAATCGGAGGCCCAGTTTTCTTCTCCCCATCCACCACCACCTTTTAACTGTGACCAGGCCTCAGGACAGAAAAGTTCTGTTTTTTCCTGGTTTGTTGCAATCAGTGGTAACCGTACAAAGAGAAACTGTTGAAATATTTGGTTTTTGATTGACGTCTGGAGTAATGAAACACTACTTCTCAAAATCTGAGCTACTACACACTTAAGAGACGTCAGTTTGGATTCTTAACAATTAGACACACTACAGCCAACAATGTGCCCATGGCTACTCTGGAGGAGCTGCGGAGATCAAAATCTAAGGCAGGAACATCTGTCAACAGAACGAGTTTAGTTTTGTACTCAAATAAATATGGCTTACAGGAATTAGTGGCATTCATGGACCGTCTCTCAAGGCATACTGACCCCTCAAAGTCTTTTATACTGAAAAATCATTTACCGATTTGCACAAATGCACATTCACAGTGACATGTGACAGGAGGAACTGGAATCAAACCTACAATCTCCCAATCGCAAAGCAACTCCTCTACCACTGACCTATATTGAGTCTTTTGTTCTAGTTGTATAACTCTGCATGGCCACCCCAAAGGCGAAACATGGTAGTGGCAGGAAGACGGATTGGGGAGTTTTTGTTTGGCTCCAAGTCAGTCGTTGATGGGAAGATAGTTCAAACTAAATGCAGGGTATTTTAATAATTAGAAACCTCAAAGCTACAGTGTTCTCCAAATGCTCCCAGTTGGGATCACAGAACTGAACACCGAAGGCTTTCTCTGGGTTGAATACAACAGATTGAAGACAGGTTATCTTCTCGCAACCTTCAATCAAAAGCAGCACACAATTAGATCATCCAAAGAAAGGATAGAGGAGACACTCGGGGCCTAAAACTCTCCTCTGAGAGGTGAACGCCATGTCAAAAATTAAATCAGACGCAAGTTATTTAAGTTCAGCCCCAAGCACAATCAGCTTTGTGACATCCAGTTTATTCTGGGCTGGACTCTTATCATGCTCACAGTTAATCAATTTTCTACTTCTCATGAAACAGAGAACTAAGATTACCAGAAGGTTTTGTTTGTTTGTTTTTACAGCACCAAACGAGCCTTCACATTCACAACAGGCTACGCTGCTTTATCATGGGGGGGGGAAAAAAAAAAAAAAAAAAAAAACCTTTGAGAATGTTTGAATATAAAGCAGACAATGCACAAAGGTTGATTGCTATGCAAAGTAATATCCTCACTGAGATGGAGAATGAGGCACAGAATGAGGGTCTGTGGGGAATTGGTTCACAGGGCATCCGCTATGAAACTTGCAGTTCAGTGAACTTCTCCCTCTACATTAAGAGCCACTGAGGTCGCACAAAGGAGCGGCTCCAAATTAGGAGCACAAAGGCGCTTCTGTGAGAGCTACAGAGTGAATTAATGAGCATTGATACACTTTCTCACAGCGTTCTTCCCTATAGCCTCAGCTCCGGCGTGTCGAACAACAGCTATTAAAAGATTACGGAACCCAGCTCAACCACTCGAAATGATACAGTTATTAAATCGATTTGTTCTATCCTGCATGTGCAGTTTCAACACGAGTGAGAAGTTTCCAAACGTTAATCTGCCACACCTCAAGGTTTGGAGCACAGATGGTCAACACTTGGAACTCATTTAAAGACGGGACTGTCTCCTTTCTAACTCCAGACTGCGGTTTATGAGCTTTCAAAGCACGCAGGCTTCAAGATGTTTCCAATAACATAATCTCCCAAGGTACAGATATTAAAAGTTTTTGTTGGGAAAACATTGTACTAACCTTTTATTTTCATTAAAATGATTGCGATGCCACACCCCAGCTCATCTCAACCAAATTTAAGAAAAAGACATTAGTACTGTTAAACAAAAAAAACAAACAAACAAAAAAAAAAAAAAAAACTGCCCAAAGATTTGCCTTTAAAGGTTACAAGAAAGTGAAAATGTTTGGAAGGAAAAGATAAAGGAATAAGACAAAAAATTGATTGTGCCCAGTAGTGTTTGTGGAGTTTTATGGGAAGGATAACTCACTTTAAAAATCAAAATGTCCATTTCAACGCAAATGGGAACATGATTTTAAAGAAAGATAGTTATTTGTTGACTTCAAGCTATGGAGTTTATACATTTAAATTTAGAAAACAAGTTGGAAAAAAAAGAGTATGTTCTTGTTTGTTTTGTCCATAAATGTTGTTCCCTTATGTCTAACTTCATATACAAACCAGTTTTTGAGATGGTTGGTCAATCTCCCCAACCACCATTTCATGCTCTTGCAGTTTTGGATGTTTCACACATGTAAGTTTTTCACAAACAAAAATAAGACATAATGGCCATGTGATCATTTGTACCCACTTCGACAGAGTCCTAGTCAGTCATGTTTTATCACTGAACTGATTTGATCGTCCTTCCCTAAAAATGTTTTACCACACACACAAAAATACCTAAAATATTAGTTTAATTATACCAGAACTGCATGTGGCAAAGCAACACGGTCAAAACACTGGAGAAAGAGGTGTAGGACACATGTTGTTGTGTCTAAAATACTTGGTGTCAACAGTCAGGTTAGATGTGGGGCAAATAAAATAAAAAAAAATTAAAACTTCACATTAAAATGAAAAAAAAGAGAGAAAATCTAGAAGATTCCATGTGAAGAATATTGGTTCCTTAAAATATATGAAACACACACATATATATATATATATATATATATATATATATATATATATGCCCAGGTCAGACCATGCTGAAGACCGCCCCTGCAACTCCCCCCGTGAACAAGAAGCAGAGCCAAAATAAACAGAAGTAGGCTGCAATACAATGCATGAAATTAAAATAAAATTTGAGCATTTCACTTTCACACGTAAATACGGGCATTTGGGCAAATTAATCTCAGGCCCCATTTTTTTCATGTCTAGCAACGCCCCTGACTAAAGTCAATCACTTCTGCACTAATGATCAATAGATGGTGATGAAAAAGGGCGTTGCCGTATTGAAAATAGGTTTTCAACGAATGTATTGTCTTTGTGTCCGTCTGTCTGCAGGGAACAGTGAAGACAGTTCGCTGACCTGAAGTTAACACCTCCACGCATTCGCTCAGAGTTGACTGGAGGAATCTCCATAATCTCCCTAATCGCTTTCCTCAACATCTAGGTTGCTCTAATGCCGATCCTCACGAAAGCGGGTCAGATAAACAGCCCGGTTCTGCTTCACAACAGAACCCTCGCTCCTGTCAAAAACAATCGGCGCGCCCCCACGAAAAGTTTGAGGCGCTGCGTGTTTCAACCCCGCGCTGTGATCCCTAAAAAAGACAAAATCTTGACAGACTTCCAGTGTCACAACTTTACAGGACGTCTTCGTTTTGACTTTCTTGAACTTACCCATTGTTGTTAAAAGTTTCCGAACGGCCACGAAGTGAGAAGCGATGAGCTTGAGAAGTTGAGCTCCAGCTACAGTGTCGTCGCGTCCTGGGATGCACACTGACCGCAGCCTGCTCTGCTCCAACACTCACCCACAGCGTCCCCGCGGAGGAGGCAGCGTGGCTGACGTCAACACTGAGGGGATTACTGATGGGAGTCGCAGCCTGGCCCCTCCTCACCAAGAAGTTTGGACCATCATTTGCTATTCTGTCATGTGCGCAAAGTCCAGTCTGACATTCCTTGGTTATCTCACGTCAGGCTGAACAAATACATAGATTTTTTTTTTTTGTGCCAAGATTGGGATCAGCTGCTTAAGCAAAGTCTATGTTGTTTGTGCTACAGTGTATCTGTACATTTTGAACTTTTCTCATGCTGCCGTGTCACAACCAGTTGAGATGTAATGAGATCGATCAGCTCCAAGAGTGTAATTGTGAAACAAATTACTGGTTGTCAACCTTGTTTTTCTTTTCTTTTCTTTTTTTTTTTTGTAAATTTGAAAGGCTTATATTCAGCCCCCCATAAAACACTTTGCAAAACCAAATTTTCCAACAACTACAGCTACAAGTCTTTTCTGGGAGTTTTTCCTTAGCACCATTGCAGTTCCAAAGACTGGATTTCTTTTTTTACCTATCCTCGTTTGCAAAATAGTTCAACCTCAGTTAGATAAGATGGATGGTTTCTGTAGACATACATTTTCAAGACTTGCCAATCATTAATTGGATTTAGGTTTTCTTCTAGGATTGTCCAGCTTCACCAACATTCCCGTTCCTTTTTAGAAAAAGCATCTCCCAAAGCATAATGCAGTCTGCAGTCGTGCCATACTCTTTCCATTTTATGATGGACTGAGCTGCTCCTTTGTACTGCTTCTAACCCAACTCTGCTTTAAACTTCTCCACAGCTTTTACCCTGACCTATCTAATATGTTATTTGATCTTCGTGATACTGTTTGCTCACTAACTTAATAAAGCCTTCATACAACAGCTGGATTTATACTGAATTTATCTATTTCTTAATAAGAAACATTGAAGTTACACGAAGATATTGTGTAATTGCAATTTTAAGATATGTTAAAATTGAAGTTGCACAGTTGTTTGTTTTTTGTTTCAATTTCTTTCTTTTTTTAATGAAGGAGCACACGTGCAACGTCTTAAGCTTTGAAAAGGTTTCTGTTGCACGTTTTAGCTTCACTTTGCACATCTGGATTTAAACTTATTCAGGCTGATTTCAGGCCCCACTGTCTCCACGGCTCTTTGTCTGCAGGTTCCTGGTCTTATCCTGGAAAATTTAGCTTTATGTCAGACAAAGGCAGGAAAAATAAACCAACTCAGTCTCCAAAGAGAGATAAATAAGAAACATAGAGTGACCACAACGACACAAAATGGCTACAAAGAGATGTGCTGTAAATCAGCTAAAATGTAACACACAATAGGAACGCACAAAGGGCTTCAATGAGACACAGGACTCCCTTAAAGTGAAACAAATGACCAGAAAGACATAAAGAGAGATATAAAGAGATAAGAAAAGTCTCCCAAATGAGTCGCAAAATGACCAAGACGGCTCTAAAAACATTCAATACAATAAAAATGAGACATTAACAACATTTAACAGATACACAATGATGCTTTTTATCATACACAAAAGCCAAAAGTGAAATGAAAAACAGCCTGAGTTAATTCAAATTTTCCACCAAATAAAAATAAAGCAAAGAGTGCAAAATTAAAAATAAAATGAAATAACCACATCTATAATAAAATAAAACAGAATGCATCAAATGACCAAATATCTTAAAGAGAAGCTTATAGATTATATTGGATTTATGTCATGGAAAAAATAATGCTGTTTAATTATATTTTACATCAACTACATAATTTCCCATTTCTACAAATGTTTTCTGAGTTAATATGATTAGTCAGGAAGAAAAAATGGCCAACTGGCCCATAACAACACCTCCACTAAAAAGCAAGATGTATTTAAAAAGGGACTGAGATGAAGAAACAATCACAAAATCACCTTTTCAGCCCCAACAAGCTGCTTTAAATGCCTGAACTTTCTGATTTTAAGTTTATTTAATTCTCTCTGTGAACTGCGAAGGAAAGGCAGGCTTTTCACTAAAACGAGGTCCTACAAAGAAACAATGCCAATCACCATCAATCCAGTGCGCTGGTATCCGGTACCCAAGGAGGTCTGAGTACCCCCCCTCTCCCAGTCCAATCCAGTCTTTTCAATGCTGGCCAAGTGGGCAGTTCTCACTGGTTTGCTTCATGGTCAAACAGCTATGGCATCTTCCCAAGATGACAAACTCAAAAGAGGCTGAAAAGCAACGAGTTTTACCAATCGACCTTAGAGCTAAAATGATTGTGCTGTTATTTAATATGTGTTATATTTTGATATTAACACTTGAACATTTTTCTGAAACCACGTTTCATCTGTTCTACCTGTTTTTTTCTAACTGTAAATGTCTAAGTGACAAAAAGATTTAGTCACTGAAATAGACCAAATTGAAACTTGCACTAATTAGTACATTTCCCCTCACATTAAATGTGCTAAATCGCTACTGTTTATTAACAAAAGTCCTGTGATCTCAATCAAATAATGTATGTGCCCTGTACAGCAAAGAAATGTCAGTCAATATCTGTGTCTGTGTTTGCAGCAGGTCAGTGTGTCTATGAGGGCGCTGCTGACTATAGGATCTGCATGGGAACCTTCCAGCAACACACTGGCCGACAGCAGGCATATTAGTGGACTATGTGAAAACAAAGCAGGTCAGACAATGCCTTTTAATCTCTCATTATACTTCAGGCCCATGCCACGTCAATCACGTAACAACACAAGTGGCATTTTAGTCCCTAGGTGGACTCTCAGTGATTCTAAGGAGGTTTGTCTTTATTACCGTTGTTTCAAGAACCAACAACGTGGCATGCATTTGGAATGGATATATTTGAAACAAAATTTACAGTAGAGGCAAATTCAGTAAACCAAAACAGATACTTTGAATTTTTGTTTTGTTTTGATATGCCTGGATATGTTATTAAAAATGTTAATCTTTTGTCGTTTAAGTCAAACACTTCACATAAATGATTGAAACATTTTTTATTAAAATAAGAACACTTCTGATTTCTGCAGAAAAGTGGATGTAAAGTGTTACTTCTTACAGTATGGCTACAGCCCTTTGTGCAGAGTTCTCCTGTCTGTGGGTTTTCTATGGGTGATTTGATTTCTGCCTGTGGTTTAACAAAGTTTATTTAGGTTAATTAGCCTCTGGGGGTGACATCGTATAGTTGTTGGTTCAGTGTGTCTCTGTGTTAGCTCTTTTATTGAGCTGGTAACTTGTCTAGACTGTGATCCAACTTCTTCCCAGTAGGCATCTGGGATAGACTCAGTAAAAAATAAAGCATCCATGGTTCACCCTTGCTGCTCTCACGTGATAATAAAGGGAAAGAAGCAACCAAGTGCTATCAATGAAAGACAGCTTCCACAACTCTGAACATCTCTAGAAAAAACTTGCATAAAAACTTCTGCAAGGTGCTTTGGGCAGCAATTGATGGTTCCCGTCAATATGTGAAGGGTCATGATACAATTTGAAAGCAATTTCGAATCCAGCATTTTAAATTGAAGAAAACATTTTAGACAGTTGCCAGTCTTCCCATGTGCAGCTGTTTCAGCAAATCCAACCCAGGATCAAACAGAAAAAAAATGTGAACAACCCAGGGGCTACATTGTCAACTAAATCTCATGGCAGTGCAATTACAAAAAGACTAAAAAGGTGTAGCTTGTTTGGAAGTACTACCAAGAGGATGGATCTGCTCTCTAATGTAGGTTTGCAAACTCCCATCTAAATTGACACGATGGTAAACAGATCAGTTCAAAGAAGAATTGTGTAGCTATGACGCCTTATGTGTTTAGCAAAAACTAGTGCATCAAGAGACATTGCATTTCCAATTCAACCATAAAAGGGGAGGGATGATGATTTGGGTTTATTTTGCAGCCTGGGCACCTACAGATCTCTGCTCTGTATCACATTATCCTGGGCTCACATGTAAGACCACCTTTCCGACATATGAGGTTTTGCCAAATTTAAGCCATAAACAGGACAGTGGTTCAAGACACATTGGGAATTTGACCAAGGAATGCCTGAAAATGAAAATGGAGGTATCGTAAAGGTTCAGTCTTAGCCGTGATTGATATGGTGTAGTTTACCGGGGCCTTTAAAGATCTGTGAACAAAACAGACTAAAATGAACTGAGAAAATGTCGTGAAGAAGACCTATTGACATTCTTCCATATTGACGGGAGAGACTAGTGAAGACATGCAAGCATCCACTCATTGTTGCCAAAGGTGGCTGCTCACATTGTTAATCGGTTTGGTTGTTTGTATTGTGACTATACAAAGTCAAGGAACAAGTCTTTAAACCGAGAAATGTTACCAGACAAGGCAATGTCAGGGATGTGACAGAAAACAAAAGACACTATGGAGAGAAATAACGAGTAACAGGAAAAATGAAATAAAACCTCTTAAGAATATTCTGGGGTTTTCGGCTCACGTTTTTATTGCATCACTTGATCGTTGCAAGGGCACTGTCCAATTATATCATATTGACAAATACAACAAATAAGTCATAAACATAATAGCAAAATCCCTACCAGCAATAATTGGAGACAGAGCTTTTCTATGAGCATATTCCTGGCCGTACTTTATGTTGTGTTCCTAATTAAGAGTAAGTACTGTGAAACAGGGTTGCTGGCAAGCATTGGGAGCTAATTGAGGCAATCCTGTGGCACCTAATTGCAAATAAAGAAAAGCTGCTGAAGCTCTACACCAAACATAACAGCCACTATGGTTACTAAGCACTGAGAAAATCGCAGACGCTGAAAATGGGCTCAAAATGGGAGGTAGTTTAATGTGTGATGAGAGCAAAGTTGGCAGTAGATCAAATGCCACAAGAATGAGTTGGACAACTCTGGCCTGCAGATGGTCTTTAATGTGTTACATCATCATGCACAACAACCGAATTTTAAAATCCCCAAAGTTTTAAAAAGAAAATAATAGTCTCAGATGATACAAATATAAACAAGAGGCAGATTGTAATACTTCCATCAAGTTATTTTAAGAGTTCCCCAGAGTTCC